TGCATTTGTTCGTGTGTATGTGATAGTAGTGCTAGGTCATCTGCAAAGTCCACATCGTCTAATTGATTCTGAGCTGTCCATTGTATGCCTTGTTTTCCCTCAGATGTCGAGGTCTTCATAATCTATTCGATCACCAGAAAAAAGAGGATGGGTGAGAGTAAGCAGCCTTGTCTGACTCCGATTCTTACTTGGAATCCATCTGTCAGCTGTCGTCCATGCACTACTTTGCACTGTAGTCTTTTGTATGAGTTCCGGATGATTTTGACGATCTTCCCAGGAACTCCGTAGTGTTGGAGAAGTTTCCATAACGTCCTCCTATCCACACTGTCAAATGCCTTTTCATAATCAATGAAGTTGATGTAGAGTGACGAGTTCCACTCAATTGATTGTTCGACGATGATCCGTAGTGTCGCAATTCGGTCTGTGCACGACCGATCCTTACGGAATCCAGCCGGTTGATCTGGAAGTTGAGTGTCTACTGCGTCTTTCATCCAGTTCAGCAACACTGTTAAAAATTTTCCCTGGTACTGACAGTAGTGTAATGCCTCTGTAGTTTTCACATTTGCTCAGATCTCCTTTCTTTGGAATCTTGATGAGGTGTCCTTCCTTCCAGTCCATCGGCACTTGTTCCTCCTCCCAAGCCCTCTTGAATAGAAGGTGAAGCATGTTTGTAGTTAATTCGATGTCTGACTTCAGCTGATATGTTGTCGGGTCGTGCTGCTTTCCCGCTCTTGATTTGTCTGATGGCCATTCTGATTTCTTGCGTCGTTGGTGGATTGACATTTACAGAAAGATCTGTATATGCTGCTTCGATGTCCGGTGGATTCATTGGAGCCGACCTATTCAGGAGTTCCTCGAATTACTCTACCCATCTGTTCCGCTGATGTTGAATTTCAGTGATTGGCCTGCCCTCTTTGTCTTTGACCGGTCTCTCTGGTTTTCTATATTTCCCTGATAGTTTCTTCGTTGTATCGTAAAGCTGTTTCATATTTCCTTCTCTAGCAGCTTTTTCCGCCATCGTTGCTAGTTCTTCCACGTATTTCTGCTTGTCGGCTCTAATGCTTTTCTTCACTTGCTTGTTTGCTTCTGTGTATTCAGCTTGTGCTTGGACTTTCTCTGCTCGTGTTCGGCTGTTGTTAATTGCTGTCTTCTTGCTCTTTCTTTCTTTGATCATGTCCAGTGTTTCTATAGAGATCCATTCCTTATGGTGGTGCTTCTTTAGGCCCAGAACCTCTTGACACGTTGAAGTTAGTGCTTATTTGATACCTTTTCAGTTGTCCTCCATAGTAGTTTCTTCTTCTTTCAGTAGATCTTGTAAGGTTTGGAACCTTTTGCTGAGAGCTATCTTGAATTCGTTGAGTTTGTTAGTATCTCGAAGGAAAGCTGTATTGAACCTTTGTAGTGCTGTTTGTCCAGTTCTTCTGTAGTTTCAGTTTTAAATTGGCCACAACTAGGTGGTGATCTGAAGCTATGTCAGCTCCTCTACTGGTTCTCACATCTTCCATTGTCCTTCGGAATTTTTTGTTGATGCAAATATGATCTATCTGGTTCTCTGTGGTGTGGTCCGGTGAGATCCATGTAGCTTTGTGTATACGTTTGTGTGAAAATAATGTGCCGCCTATGACCAATTTGTTGAATACACACACATTTGCAAATCTTTCTTCATTTCCGTCTCTCTCTCTCTCCCACTCAATCCATGTCGTCCCATAATATCTTCATATCCGGTGTTGTCTTTTTCGACTTTGGCATTTAGATCTCCCATCAGAATAGTGAGATCCTTTCTTGGGCACTTCTCTATGGTTGATTGCAGCCTCTCATAGAATTGATCTTAAATGTCGTCGATGCTATCATTGGTGGGTGCATAACTCTGGATAATATTAATCGTGATCCCCTCCTTCTTTGTTTTCAAGGATGCTTTGATGATTCTGGATCCGTGAGATTCCCATCCTACAAGTTCATTTCGTGCTACTTTGGACAGCATTAGAGCGACTCCACGAGTGTGTGGAGCATTTTCCTCTTCGTGACCGGAGTATGGCAGCATCTCTCCCGTATTTAGCCTTTGTTGTCCAGCTTGGGTCCAATGGGTTTCGCTGATTCCCAGTACTGCCAAATTGTATCTCCTCATTTCCGTTGCTATTTGACTGGTCTTCCCGGTCTCCCACATTGTTCGAACGTTCCATGTACCTATAAAATTTTTTGCTCTGGTTGTTAGAAGAGGCATCGGCCTCAAGGTTTCCTAAGGAACTCGGCTTTCATCATGAGGCGTCATAGTTCTTCTAAATGAAGACCTTCTAACTCCCAGGGCAGAGTTAAAATGGTTTGGATTATTTTTTCTGGTTAGCGTTTTTTTAGCGAGTTAGTTTTCTACGGGTTGGGGTCGCTAACTCCATGCTCAACCCTCCTCCTTTACCCGGGCTTGGGACTGGCAGTAACTCTAGAAGAGTTACTGGCGGAGTTAATTTATTGATCTTTTAAACTATAACTAAGTTATAGTTTAAAAGATCAATTAATTTCAACTGATCACTTGTTGGAAGTTGTTCATAGATTTTTATGACCAGTAAAATAATTTCGTAACAACGAATGTTTAAATCACTGGTACTATATTATAGATATAAATTGTTATATCTAGAGCTTAGATTTTTAATATACAGCGTATAACTTGAGCACTCGAACGCTAGAACTCTCCAAGTCTCAAACAAGAAGACAGAAGAAAACTGGAGAAAGTGCTTGTTGGGTAAGAATCAAAACGTACAGAAAATCATGGGTATTTCTAGATATTAGCGTTTGTTATATGAATATTATAATTCAACCAATTCTCAAAGAGGCATGTTGTGCTACTAACCAATAGTAGTATGTCACGTTGATATTCTAGAGAGCACCATTATATTCTGACTGGATGGTACTCTTCGGCTCCTCTGGATGCTCCGTCGTAGTCCTCATAAGCCATCCCGACATAAATCACAGCACCTCTAACTAATCTGTAACGGGATGATTGAGTAAATAAGTTCCAGATATTGTAGAGATGAGTTATTCGGTAAACTCATAAACTGACAGGTCCCGGGTTCGAATCTCGCGGGGCGGGATCGTGAATGCGCGCCGCCGAGGAGTTCCATACTAGGACGAAACGGACGTTCAGCGCTTCCAGGTTTTCCATGATGGTCTAGCTTCAACTGACTCAGGAATTCAATTATTAAATCACTACAATTTCCACAAAACCCCTCTCTGTTTATAAACTTTCAGTAATTAAAGTAAATTGGGTACATTTACAAAGTTTTAATCCATCACACAATCAATGAAGCTGAGTGAAGCAGGACCAAGTTATTGATTCGTTTTAGTTTGAATCAATTACCGAGATAAAGCATTACATTGGTCTATTACATCTGGATTGAAGTAATCATTTAAGTTGAAAATATGTTAATTTTAGGAACTTGTTATTAACACAGCAATTATTCGAAATTACATGGAATAAATTTACTTGACAATTAATATTTATGGATGGATGGATATCATAATTTTATCTGATTGCAACCATTCGTTTACTGATTCATTCCCTGATTCCACAACTCAATTTTTATCTAGCTATATCATTTAGATGTTCGACTCTCATGAGAAGGGTGCAAACCAACCAACGTTAAGCACCTTTGTTAATGTACCATTCCCAATTTATTTGCTGACTTTAAAATTGTGACCTGGAATATATTCACAGAAAATGACCAAGTAATTAACCGATTAAAACCAGAACCCAATGTTTGCAATCTCTTATATACATAAATTGGTCCCGATTGGTGCTAGCATTGTGGAGAACCCCTACAACTCCTGGGGCAACCACACAGGAATGTCCCGAATGCTTAAAAATTGGTCTCCGGAAATCCCGTCTAACTAACAGAAGTAAGATTGTTGAGCATGCTGACCACTCATCTTATCTTCCAAGACTCAATAAACAGTTGGTCGATGGCTAACGAGAACTCAGCAAAGATCTTACTCGGTCATTGACATTTCGCATCGCCGGGGCGATGTCTCCCCGTTTATCGAAGAGTGAGTATATTCACTAGCATCTAGCTGTATGAATTTATGGATGTGGAACTTGCATAGGTTATTACTAACAAACTAAAATATATTGGTGTAAGTATTAAGTAGGCGAAGCTCAGGTTTGGAGCAAGATATGCACTAGGAGACCAAACTAACTCATTTACAAGGTACTTAGATATGAGCCACACTCTAAGTGTGGGAGCTAACCACCTGACCCCCCACAGCCGAAGTAGAGCAGGGTCCGAACTTGGGGCTTGGAGGCTGGAAGTCGAACATCTTAAATACTGAGCGAGACGGTTGGGATATATTACGAACGCTCAACCATTAACCCAAACATGCAATATTTGGCATAGGAGCAAGCTGTGGAAAGGTTATGGGCGACCAGACCGATTAGTAATGAGCCCGAAGAGTGACCAACTAACTGAATATTGTAAATCTGTCTGGTATTTTTGATGGAGTTCGTATGACGACCACAATTTCCGGTTGGGGACAAGTTTCATGGATTGAAATGGGCGTAAACAGCACAAATAAATCGACTCTTTATCTTCCTCTTAGCTTTGAGTCTCAATATGGTTTCGCCGACCAATTTAATTACTTCCATTTGAAGCTGATTCTCCGTCGAGTTTCTTGATACCACTGATACTATCATCTCCACAATTTTGTTTTCCACTTTATTTTTTTCTGTAATGACACAACGTGTGTTAACTTGGGTAAATGAGCATTCGTGAAGAGTACTAAGTTGTCTATGACTGACTGTTGCAGATAGTAAAATTGTTAGATAATCAGGATTTTAGGAAGAATAGACCATGCCACTATCCTACTACGTTATTGAACTCGCTGTCAATACATGACTGTTTCCTACGGATTCAATATCAAACCTTGTGAGTGGATGCTTACCTTTACAATTAACATGAAAATATTGAAGAATTAGAGTAAAATTATTTGACTATCGCTCATGAAGAGTAACAGAAGTTGGACATTTATTTAATCACTTTAAATCTCAATAATTTTTAGATAAGGTGCGTTTTAGAATTCCACTTTTTATTTAGTGCACCAAGGTGAAGCAGAGCTGAGATACACTTATTACAAACCGAACTAGCTTTTATTTTTAGTCCTAAACAGGTGACCAAATACATACATCTAAATAATAAAACGACTTTGACATGGTAAAACACCACATAAAAAAGGAATGAAAAGATTTATCGCATACAGTTAATAAAATCCCTTAAATAAATAAGATTATTTTTATTAATGCCACTGAAAAATCGAACGAATAGATATGGTACATAGATCATTTTTTTGTTTTCAACGAAAACGAGAGCTTTTAGAGTGTATAAGTTTTCAAAAAAATATTAGTGCAGTCTTGTGTTGGTGGTAATAAATCGGACCTCAGATGAGAAGGAAACGATGGTAATTTATTTCAAAATGAAACTAAAATACACCAGCAAAACTCAACTGGAACAGGATAGTAAATGTACTGATCAATAAAACACCTGAATACAAATACAATCCTGCGATGTCCTGTTCCGAGAATTTCAGACACAAAATAATATCACAAGTTTAGTAATGAAGGAAGGAGAATGAGATGAATAGTTGTTTTGATAAGCGCACAATCACATAGAAATAAACCATAATAAAGTTGAGGATGGATAGATTTAAGATTACCAAGAAATATTTAACAGCAACCCCCACTTTTTTTGACAGGTTGTGTACTATTAACTGGTACAGTAGAAGACAACATATTTTGTACTGGTGTTGCATTTTCTTGAATCTTTTCAGCCATTTTTAAGAATGCGTTTTCAACATTAGTGGCATCCTTGGCACTGGTTTCTATGAAAGACATTTGATTTTTATCAGCAAACTCCTGGGAAATTAAAGATCACACCACGTTATGAGCAATAGTATGAAAGTAGAATTAAAATAACTAAAGGTTAATTATATTATCAATTTCCATTAAAAAACATAAACTCTAAACCTGCAATCTAGTCACAAAATAATTTTGGGGTGGTTACTAACAGTGAAAGCTATGACAATCATCACTCAGCTACCATATAGAAATCTCTATACTGGGTGGGATGAGGTGTGTTCAATTTGTGAAGATTTCATCTGTGATACCTGATTGTTTAATTCAAGGTATGGACAAAATATGTGGATCCAAACCCCTAAATACTGGTAATAAAATATCAAGACTATATGAATTACTAAAAGAATATTCACTTTTTAGTAGTTGGGAAATTGGTTGAAAAAGTTGAGCACAAAACGCATAAGTAACAAGGATAAAATTCGATCTTTAAGACGGGGATTGGTCAAATTGAAGTTTGTCTTAAGTGAGTCCTGTACTGTTCATATACTAACTTGATGTACGATAAAAAATTCAATGGCAAAATTATGATCAACCCCGTAATCGAGTACATCCTGGGATTTTGTTTCGGTTGTAGAGTACACATTTTGAGTAAAGGATACCTGGATATCTAAAAAGAATTGGGTGGAGTATAAACCTGTGATCCGATGATCGGAAGCTGAGTCGTAAATATGCCATCCAGTTGAATGCTAAACCTAAATTATTGATTACCAATGAGATGAAGAATGAATCGGCAGTCGCTTATGAATGCATTCATATAAAAATTTATTTTAATCACCCATCAAGTTCATTCAGCCAATCATAAGGAAAATGGAAACTGCCATATATATGCGTCAGTTTAAGTTGCCACACTACACCGACACAGTGAAATGCTGAAGTACAACAAGTAATAACAGCACAAGTGGTAGTAGAAAAGATTAGAGATTCTAAAAGTATGGATTCGCGAAATAAAAATTTATAAGATAATTACGAAACCTAGGATCCAGGTAAAGATAAAACCAAACACAAGAGACAATATCATCAGTAGAAATGTGTCCATTAGAAACAGAAAGATCGTGACTAAATAAAGATTTAATAAATTTCACAGGTTGAAATCATGAGTCGATTGAAGCTAGACCACCATGGAAAACCTGGAAGCACTGGACGGCCGTTTCGTCCTAGTTTAGGACTCCTCAGCAGTGCGTATCCACGACCCCGCACTGCTGAGGAGTCCTAAACTAGGACGAAACGGCCGTCCAGTGCTTCCAGGTTTTCCATGGTGGTCTAGCTTTAATCGATTCATGATTTCAACCTGTGAAGTTTCTAAAACTCTCCACAAAACCCATCCTGATAAAGATTTAAGACTAACATACTGAACTTTTACAGTGAGAGCAGATTGTTTACAGTCAGTAATCATAAATATAATTGTATAATCAGCCTTGTGCTGCACTGAAGCAGTTTAATCCAAAATAATATGAAGGGGAACTTAATCTGCAGCTTACTGGATGAAAGTCAAATGCTTGAGTAACAGTTCTATATTTATACAGATGCGGGGAAAAATTGTGAAAAGATTAAGTTGACATATTGTAATCAATATTATGTATAGACTTAAGGTATGCATAGGCTATTAACATAGAAGCCAATTTTAACAACTACTGCTAGCGCATACAAGAAAATTGGCCAGTCTAAGAATATACTGGTAGTAGTGAGTAGATCTTATGTCTAATTAACGTAGCTAAATGTATGGTTTTACAAACCTTCGCAACAGACGTCTCAACAGCACGTCGATTCGCCAAATCACACTTGTTACCCACTAAAAGACGGCTGACTGTAGAGTTAGCATAGCAACTGATCTCATGGAGCCAACTTTGGACGTTTGCAAATGTTGACTACAAAAGAAATAAAAAGTATGGAGTGCAGTAAGCAAGGTGGATAAAAAAAAGTCAAAAACAATTATCTAATCACTTAGACCAAACTAGCCGATGTAGTTTTTAACTAGTGATTAATTAATGTACCTGATAGGTAAATTAATGAGCTCGATAATCACGGAAAAACTGGGTGCTTTTAAGGCTTTATATCTAAAAAAAGTGTTGAGATTGTTTTATCTCGCTCACAATGGTGACAATATAGTTGATCTAATTATATTTTCATACCCGTTAATTCCGTCTCTACCTATTACATATGTGTATTCTCATTTTTCGTTAATAAGACAAGGCGATTAAATAGATATTTCTCAAGACTAATAAACAGAATTAATAATTTACTGATATGCTTTATTGAGAAAAATAACTTCCTTGAAAATCTGAGATTTTTTCGCCTACGTCAGGTAGTAGAAATTAGCGAAGTATATCTTACCCTCGCCAACATTTTATCAATCAAAGAACAAATGGAATACTCATTCTCTTCAACCACGACAGTTATGAATTAAGATTCCATAAACAAATTTTATGAACAAAAAGTAATAACATAGGTTAGCAGCTCAGGCTCTATGTTGATTATGACTGATTGAATTAATGTCTATCAATAGATGAAAGAGAATGACGCCCGAGTAATATCCACCTATAAAACTGAGTTACGAACATAAGCCCTCCATTGAACAAATATTAGAAAGTGAGACTTAATAGGCTTTTTAACTAACGAAATAGCTAATGTACAAAATTATTGGAACAAACATAAACATAATCCGGTTTTATAAACAAGTAGTGTCCATTTTGTACATCGACCATTGACTAGTGAATCAAGACCTAACCCAGACTTGGTTTTTGCCCCGTCATAAAGCAACACTCCACGGTTCGAAAACAAAATGTCTTGAATAGACTGATATTATGATACAAATCGTACGGAAAACGGGACTAACATTATCGTATGGGTACGCCTGAATAATGAGAGGATACTTTGCTCATAATGGTGTATGTATGACAAGACCGTTCTTGATCCATCAGTAAGGACCAAAGACGCTAGTATATAAAAGCATATTACATCCATAAATATCTGAATAAAAATTACTTTCCCTTAACACTAATTAGTGATAATTCAAGCTGATTTGATCTCGACCATCTCATTTGTAAAACACACACCAGACATTTTCGTTGATTTTCAGCGATGTAGTATTTGTCGTTATTATACTGAGAAAGAATTATCGGAATCTCATATCAGATGTCCGGACTCATATATAACTTATGATAATTGCACTGACGATATGAACTTTTTTAGATAATGGACAACGATTCATAAAGAATATAGTTAGCACATTGCATCACTTTGTGTTTCGTTGTAAAAAGCCCTATTCATGCCATGAAATATATTTACATGTAATTTTACTATCAGTGATGAGGTTATCGAAGTGTGAACTAAGATTCCTAAAGATAAAAAGAACGCGGGTGATATGGAGTTTGGTAAAAATTAACAACCGTGGTAGTCACAATTCATATAAATATACAGTAGACTAAGGTAAAGCATGAAATGGTGTTTAAATTTTTAACGACTGGATTCTAACCATCTTAATTGAGTCCTCCCAGTCACTAATTAGTTTTCCCAGAAACATTAAAAGGAGAACTGGTTAGTCTCCACAACCTAGTCAGTCAAACGCAACGCAGAACCTAGCACATTTACACCGGTTCAAGTTGCTGTACCCCGCTAGCACAGCTTAGACCAACGGTTAAAAGCGTCATGTACTGATGTCATACATTGACCCGATCATTACTAGTCTACTGATATAATTCTAAGATAGTGGTAGTTGTTTTCAGGTGTGTTGCCAGGACGCGCAATGCTGACTAGTGTTGCGGACGGTTGGAAGAAAGTTACGAGTGACCAAACCAAAACGTGGCATCAGTGCTTGAAGTCACTAGCTTCTAGTCTGAGCCATGTTGGTAGATGTAGACTACTTGGTTGTGGTCCACACAACTATCGTAACAAATGGTTAAAGATTGGGTGACATGGCTCAGAATCGACCACAATGGCGTCGGTAAGTACACTCTTTGTCTTCCCTCAAACTGTGCGACTAAGGTTGCTTTATACCTTTCTTTCTACCAACTAATTCTTTCTTCTCGTACTATATCCTTATACACAATCTTTCTTTTATACATTAATACCATTGAACTAACTACTCCTATGAATTTGGTGTTCATCTTGTTGTGTTAATGAGGTATGGCAACTTGGATCGATGCATATCTGTGCCTGGTCCTACGCTGTAGCTGACTGACTGTTGCAGAATAGTGGATCGCCAGTAATATGACAAACCAGGTATATGGATATTTCACTAAAGGTAATGGTAATACTTACTCATGTTACAGCCCCCAAATGCCCTGGTATGACCGAGAGTTGGGTGGACCCGCCCTCACTCTCGAAATACTCTTACACGGCCGCGCGTATACAGCCTCTGCCAGGGAAGTCCTCTCACTGCCTTCTCGTGGCGGGGGTGTTGTCTACGGAATTGAGAGTACGAAAGGCGAATGTCCGGCGCTTTAACCGGATTCTAAACCAATAGTGCACATGGGCTTCAGTATCCTAAAGGGACAAATGGCGTATGAACCAATTTTCGGTTACCGGTTACCATGGGACTGCATCTCCTTACGATGCTTCACTGCCTTGTGGATCAGACCTTTAGGTCGAAGGCTCGGGGTGTGGCCCCCTAAGAAAACCACCTGCTTCGGTCTGGGCACTCGAGCAGTATCACAGCCCTCACACAAATCGAATAATTTATGTGGCGCATATCTACTTGGTGCCTCCTTGTACCAATGTTTATGTTTAAATGAATAAATAATAAAAATGTTACTGTAACTAATTACAGATGACAGGAATTGACAGCATATTAATGTGGGGTTGCAAGTTTAAGATGTGTTTGGAAAGATGTGATATCTGATAGTCATCTGAATTAGACACTGGATAAGATAACTTGGTAAAGGTCCAAATGTTTGGAAACTAGGGAAAACTTCGACACGGAAATGCGATTTGATTACCATGCATACACCAGTGGGAGGCTACAGAGTACGCCTAAGTTGCGTAGTGTTCCCCGTTTGATTGGGTAGTGGCACATGGAGTGGGATTTAAACTAGTGCATAATCTAATAAACTTTACATCTACAAACCAGTGATACACCTGAAATCCTGACAAGCCGATATCTTGTTTCAATAAGTCTAACCAAGCTTTACAGTGCTGTCGACCGACACTGACTTTGTGAGACTACACATCAAGAGTGATTGCATTGGATTTCCCGTGACTTCATTGTTGAAAAACTTGGTAAGTAGTGAGTACCAAAAGACATGATATGGTTGTTACGAAGACATTGGGGGTTACGCATACTGGTGATATTGCTGATAAAAAACGCAGGAAATAAATGACGCAAACAAAACTTTCGGTCTTACATGCTTGATTTCACTTCCCTGAATATGAAACTTGAACAAGATTATCACTGATAATACACCTAACTGTACTAAACATAAATTATCACACAAAACTTTGGAGCTAATGTGGTAATATAACACGTTAGGTGGCGTAAGGCCTCAAGCAATCCAACAGCCGCAATGATCAGCGCGTAAAATAACTAAAATAGTGGAACGCTCACCTGATCTGTTATATCATACACAATTATAATTCCTTGGGCACCGCGGTAGTATGAAGAAGTAATTGTTCGGAAACGTTCTTGACCAGCAGTATCCCAAATTTGGAGTTTCACAACCTTACCATTTAAATCAATGGTGCGTATTTTCTGAAAAGTGTCAGATTAATATGTACTTACAAAGTCAACACCGATAGTACTGATATACGTTTCATTAAATGTTTCATCCTAAATCAATTTTACAATCAATGGTCAAAAGAAAATTTACGGCAAATCTTAGCAACAAACATGATTTCCCCACTCCCGAATCACCGATCAGTAGTAGCTTAAGTAGATAATCACTAAAAAATAGAAAGAATTTAAATAAATGTGCCAAAAAAGTGGAAGAATTCCGTGGGTAATGTAAACATACTAATCTGGATTCATTTGGATGCACAAACGAACTAAATGTTACGCTGTCGCCGCCAACGAGCGCTTACGGGCAGGTTTCGGTTTCGGTGACATCCAACAAACAAATGGTTCAAATGGTTCAAATGGTTGTGGACGGAATAGAAGCTTTCGCTTAACAGGCTTCCGTGTCTAGTAGCAGAGGATCACCAATACCTCCAGGCAGGGACCTAGGTATGTTTACGATAAAAGAGGAAAAAGAAATTGGTAAATCATAGTAAGATACTATCCTTAGACCTTTAGAATAGATCAGGTTCCCTCTTAAAGGACTCCTGGGAATTCGCTCGGACTAGCTCGACAGTCGGCGAGTTCCAGCATTTGACAACTCTTAAGGAGTAGAAGTTGTTCCTACAGTCCTGTAGTGACTCACATTTATCACGAGAACACGACTGGTTTATTATAACCAACTATACCAGTGTTTGTTTAAATGTGCTTTTGTTTGACTGTGCTAATGACAGCTATATTGTGCTTCCATTCTTATTCTCACCCTTTGATTGTGACTTCGCGCAGATTCGGTTACGTTCTGTAACCAAGCTTGTATCCTGGCACGATCTCGGTATCCTTTCGATACCACGAGATCGCCAGCAAATATATCTCGACTTGGTCCATTAACGGCCTTCTGATATTTGACTTCTCGGGGATCTTATGGATTTATTTGGTTACGTTCAACCTTCGCCTTCTGATTTACTTGGCACGTGTTTCTTGGTAGCGGTGTTCATAGTTAATCTCGACTCGATGCCACGCTACAGTCCGTTCTGCTTTCTACTTATGAATCAGAAATTTTACCAATCTAATCAGTCAGTTGAAATAAATTCCAGACTCGCTTTCGGAACTGTTGAGTCACTTCATGATAGTTGGGAGAAATGTTCAGCAGACTTTTGGGTGAAGCATTGGGCTTTTTAACGTCAGTAATAGCAATCATGAAAGTAGAGAGAACATGGATACAGGATATTTGGTCAAACTTCGTAGTACATAAGGGTGATATAAATGCGATTATGATGTATATTATTGTTTGTGTTCCTTACGTCATTCTCTCTAATAGCCTACTCCCAAGTAATTAGCAGTTCTGAATTTTTACCCAGCAACGAGTGTTTCTCGCCACTCGAAAGGCTTTTCTGCAGCTTTTAACGACAGAAATTTCAGGTTCCTCCAGCGCTCACATAATTATCTGATAATAAGCCCGGTCAAATATCACCTTGCCTTAGTCAAATCCTTCTAAGGTCAGAATACTGAATATTGGACAGTTTACCTATCCTTTCTGTAATCTGAAGAAAACGAAGCGCACGGATCAAATGCTTACCACTGACAGGCGCGTGCGCCTATGATTCTGTCTCATACTTCTGTCAACTCTTAATGGTAATTTATTCTGTTGTCCGGTGAGAGCACTTATTCTAGCCAGCCGCTTGGTTGTCGTGGAAGCATAACCCCAGTTAAGTACTAAATGCGAAGTGTGGCATTAAGGCAATTCAGGAGGTTACACCATCAATATCCAACCTGCTAAAACTGATGGGCAAGTTAGTGCTTCCAGCTTATGTTGATTCAATCAATCCCGAAGGAACTAACTAGCCTAGGACCCATGGTTTAGTGTATTCTTCATCTCTCAGTGCTTTGTTCTTAAAACTCGTTCCATATCATCTAGTTACATGATCCAGTAGTCTCACACTCGTCTTCCTCCGCCTCTAATCATAGTTATCCTTTTTTCTGATTAATATCGTCATCTCAACTTATGTTATCGGGGATCTCTACTGAAAGAAGCGTCTTAGGTGCTTAATATCAATGTACTAAACCTGCATGTATAGTAAACTCAAATGCGGTTAGTGCGACTGCTCCGGAAGAATGAGTAGATTCATTTTGTTTTCTTACCAGAACTCTTTGAGCGCGTAGCAAGTAAAAACAGGCCTACCCCTGACTGTAAAACAGTGCCTGTCACAGTAAGGACATAGACCTGTCCTTAATAACGCACACTACATTCCCATTTATTCAAAGTAATTAGCTCCTTTCAGAAACTTTGATAGAACAATGAGAAGACTGAGTTGATGAAAAATGTGATGGAGTAGCTCTATACACTCCGGAAAATTTGGCCACAAATATGTTAGTCTAGGAATTTCATATCCAAATCAATAAAAGTTAAACAGAGGTTCAAATAAACATAAAGGGATAACCCCAAAATGCCACACTAACTTAGGATATAAAAGGACTTAAAGATTGCAGAAACAAATCCAAGACAACGACCAGACGTTGATTCACACATAAAGTGGGTTTGAATTTGCAAAGAGTTTAGGCTTCTAAAAATTTGGGAAGTCGTCTTTGAGAATTCTTACGCAATCACTTTAAAACTATATTACTGCTGATTCTGTGCCTCGTTTCAATTATGTGTTCTCTAATTGATGGTCATGGTTTCCTAACTCTCACGTTTGTCCGGGCGCATGACATCAGCTAGTTCTGAAGCCACTTAGACATATGTTTTATAACCTAGAATGCATTGTCCGGTTGCTACTCCGCGTGTAACCGCATCATGTCAAGTCAATTATGGTTTATTATTATTAAATGGCTTTATTCAATATTATATTTTGGTACAATATAGAATTCTCATCACAGGATATTTCAACAAGTTACTCATGCAAACAAAAATAGTAACAAAGACAAAAAAAGTTTAAAAAAATATCTGAAAAACAGTACAACATTTAAAATTAAAGTCATGTTAAGAATGCAGGTTATTGGCTAGATTAACTCTAACAACCTGTTCGTCACAGAGTATATTTGCTAGATAAGGTATTATAGAACATTTGTACTTTTCATTGCGTGCATGGATTTTAATGTAATTACGTCTCGTTCTACCAGAAGATATACAAGGAGAAAGATAAGAGTGAAGGGGATGGCTAGTATCTGATAAAATGACACCTGCCAGGAGTTTGCATGATTTTAAATGTCTATCCACAACCATATTAATTATGACCTCGAAAGATTCACCACACACCTTGCTAACTGCCTTCAGCACTCTCCGCAACACAGCAAAGTCTTTTCTCAAAATCCCGGGAAAGAATAATGGAGAACAGTAAAGAATAATAGGTAGTATGCAAGAATTGACAAATTGTAAGAGTAAATGACTAGTAATTCCAAGAGCATGCAATCTCTTTATGTAATAGGTCAGACGGAAAACCTTCTTCGATAACGATAAAACGTGGGAAGACCAAGACAGATCAGAGGAAAAGGTGACACCAAGATAATTGGTGTAACCTTTTCCTCTGTATTAGTCTACTAGCAGTAATATGTTAATTAAAGGCTATACCAATTGTAAAACCCGAAAGAACCACCTACTAACACTGGTGATCTGCACACCAAATGTCTCTTCAACTGTGCAAACAGTGCTAAATCTAACAAACTAACTGGCACGCAAGTTCGCATTCATTTTTTGGTGATTTGAACATGTTCTTTCAATCGGTCTCCTGACAGAGATATAACTGGAAATCGTCGTATGCTGATTGAATAATGTAAACAAAGCGAAATGACTTTTTATTTTAAATTAGTAGCATAACAATTATAGAACTCAGTCTATGGCTCTCCTAGGGTTACTCACAGTCCCTAGCAAGGATAAGGGAGGAGGTCTAAGTACGAGGTTAGCAAGCCCATTCCATAGAAAACAACTCTGCGAAAAACTCTAGCCGTAAAAATAATCTAGACCACCTAAACTCTGCCCAGGACGTCCAAAGATTTGCCTGCAAATGAGTTTGGACGTCCCATAGGGAAACCTAAGACTCTTCGGAAATCATGAGACTGTTGTCCTTTCAAACAACCACTGCAACAAGTAATGTAGGTACATGGGATGTTCGGACAACGTGAGAGACCAGGAGAACCAGTAGAATAGCCAGAGAAATGAGAGGATACAATTTGGTGGCCTTCGAAATAAAAGAAAACTCGTCTGACCCTAGCTGGATAAAATGATTAGCTTCGTAAGATGTGTTGATGTACTCTTGCCACGAAGAAGAAAATGCATCACATACACAAGGATTTACACTGATGCTGTTTAAAGAAGTACGAAAAGTACTTATATGGTGAAAATATCATGGGTCTAGTATCACCAACGCGTTCTTCAAAACTAACAAAGAGAGGATCACAACGAATGTTATTTAGTGCATTGCATTCATCGTTGAGATTAAAAACGATGATAAAAATCGGTTATTATGGGAGACTGGCATCGATCTCAAAGAAGTGGCCAGGAAAGAACCTGACCATATTGACACGAGACCTGAAAATCAGAAAGGGAATGGACAACATCGGGTATGAAGATATTATGGGGCGACATGGATTGACTAGGAGAAAGAATCGAAAATATTGAGAGGTTCGCAATTTCATGTGTCTTCAACGCAGTGATTAAAGTTGACAAAATATTCCCCACAAGCACATATACAAAGCTATGTGGGTTTTTATAGCTCACACTTCGCAAAACTATATCCACCATATTTCCATCACTAATATATGCAAACGGTAAATGGAAGACGTGAGAGATCAGAGAGGGGCTGACATAGCTTCGGCTCACAACCAGGTGGTTGACAAGATGAAATTAGAACTAAATAAACGCTGGGAATCCGGAAAAACAACGTTAAAGAAGCTCAGTATACACTTCCTTCGAGATACCGTAAAACTCAACGAATTCAAGATCGCTCACTGCAACAGGTTCCAAACATCATAAGATCTCTCAAGGGAGGGAACTATCATGGAGAACAACTGGAAAGGGATCAAAGAAACATGAACTTCAACGTGCCAGGAGTTGGCGTGCCCCAAGAAGCTCCATCAATAGGAATGGATCTCTCTCTATTATTGGATTCAAGAAACTCAGAGAATGTAGACAGCAATCAGCAACAGCCAAAAAAGAGCAGAGAACATCAAGGAACAAGCTTGATGCATAGAAACAATAAGCGTAAGTATTAGGAAGATCTAGTGTTAATGTTAGAGAAAGCTTCAAGAACAAAATATGAGACAACTTTATGACACAACAAGGGAACTTGCTGTAAAACATGGTAAACTAGAGCGATCAGTCGGGGAAAAGGAAGGCAACATAATCACAGTGGAACAGATAGATAGAACATATTGGGGA